TGTGAAACAAAAGGCCAAATGCATGATCTTAAATCTCTCGGCGTTATTGAGGTTTACCGTTATCCGCTGTCGTTCTCTTCATGCAGGTCATCATACGAGGAGGAGGGCACATTCTGCCTTACGACCAACCGCAGAGGTCCTTTGACATGATTGACAGATTCTTGTCAACTCAGGGCTGGAAATGAAAAGCACGGGTGGAGAAGTGCAAATGTTCAAGCACCTTCACTTTAGAGAGCAGATCGAGCACAGAGCGTTGATTTAAGACTGATTGTCACAGCTAACTTAAATCAAGTTTTTGTTTTCATCATTTTTTTGCAGAACTTTTTAAAAACCAGAGGATACATTTCTTCTAAGCGTGTGCTCTCTGATGCACACTCTTAGCTTGGATGCGATATCTGGATTGTTGCAAACAGAAATGGTAAAACTGATAAATCAGGTTAACGTCTTAAATTTTAAGGGTTCATGTTTGTTTTTTCTCGGGTCAGTATGAGTTAATGTATGTTGTGTGAAATCAGTGCACGCTTCGGAGACAAAATTCAATGCAAAATTCAAAAACACATTTCACTCATATCAAGATTTCTTTTAAAAGAACTTTTAAAACGGTTCATACAAGTTTTAAATGATTTCATGTATTGAAGCAAAAGGTTCTAAGCAGTTCTTTGTACCTTCCTGTGGCACTTACACTAAGATAAAAGGTTATTATATGCAAAGTGATTGAATAAAGCTTGGAGGTGTTTCTGGTCCAACTGCTACCAGTTATGAATGCATGCTTTGTTTTCAGTCACTAAAGGTGGAATTATTTTTTTCTAACACAAGTTTGATTTGTATTAAAGAACCTTTTTCTTCAATATATCCAATTCTTTTTAAAGTTTGTGTTTGAATGTCTGTCACAGTCAGAAGGGACTGTAAAGCCTTAAGTGTTGAAATTACTTGAAATAAAGATGTTTCTTTTTTTTAAAACATCACATTGTGTTGCTTACAACCTTTTGCTTGAGGCCATTAAGTGTTTTTATCGTTGTGTTATATTGTGGTCTACCTCCCAGTACATGAGAGACGGGGAAAAGCCAAAAATGATGGTGGTGCACACTTTATCTTGGAGAGGAAGTGGAGTCAGATCTGGTTAGTGTTGCTGTTTGTGGAACAGTGGTTTGTACTGTCACCTCACAGGAAGAAGGACCTGGATTCAACTCTCAACTCTGCGTGATGACCCTGCGATAGAGTGGAAACTTGTCCAAGGTGTGACTGGTCACTGGGATAGCTTCCAGTCCCTGAAAACTAAAATGAAACTATGGAAAAGAAATATAACTTCAGTAGAAGAAATGAGCGAGCAAAACCCCGTGGGTCTGAAACTAAACTGAGAAGTGAACCAATTGAGGTGGGATTTGAAAACATTGCTCGATGTGAAAGTATTGTTTGGGAAAGTGAACAAGTTGTACACCAGGGGTCATGATACTCCAAAGACAAGTCTCTGCTTGGCTGCTAACTGGCATAGATCATTGCCTCCCCAAACTGCTGTCAGTCATTAAATGCACTTTGAAAATGAAATCACTGGAGCTCTCGATCATCCGAAGTAAGGTCCTGAAAAAGTCCTCTTCATTACTTAAAGAGGTCCCTCCGCATGTGTCCACAGTAGCAGCCGGAAATGAATTTCTTACACAACAATGTTTATTTTTATTGCTTATTTGTTTCATTGTTGTGGCTAAGATTTAATTGTCTCTCTGCATCGGCAGTGATTTGGCATTTTGACAGGATTCAACAAAGATGTTTGTGTACTGAAGTTAACTGCCATGTTATTTCATCGGGCATCTATCAAGCTGTCTAGACAGTTCAATAATTAATGAGCATTCTAAACCTTTAAAGCATCTTACTATTTAATGAGCAGTCATTTTTCAAGGACAAGCATCAGCAAATGCTGTTGATCCTTTGATTGAAATATTACTTTCCTGGGTTTCAGAAACAATGACATCATGTCGCGCGAATGAATGTTACAGAACAAGTGCTTTATTTTCATACCGTAATGTAACTGCAGTGATACTTTAACATCTGTACAAATGCAAAATAAAATGGAGACAATGTAATTACGGACCAAAAGAAACAAAAAAAAAAAGTACAAGGATATGCAGGCAGGAATGGATCCCATCCGTTTGTTACATATCAACAATGTACTTAAGCGCTGGGGTGAGCCTCGACGTACAGCAAAAGGCAACAAGTGCAAACATTATTTACAAACGTACCACACGTTTATTCTCCCTTCTAAAAGAAAGGTGGTTGCATTACATGTACAGGATTATAGAAATTAATATTATGTACAATATTTATACTTTTAGACTTAAAATAATACAATTACAACATCATTAATATGTAGGAATTGTTCTCTCTCACACACAGACACACTCACGCTGTACTTCCATAGCTCCTTTTTTTGTATACCTATATAGTAACAAATGCATTTTTATTATGAACATGGATCCATTATCAGAAATGAAAACTCCTAATAATTCCAGTTGAAAGCGCGATGAGGTCATAAACATATTTTCACATGCATGAGGTTAATTTGGAATGGTCTGATCTAAACAGGGTTTTACAAACAGCCAAAATTAAGGCAAGCTTCAGTTCAGAGGGTCGGTGCAACAAAGCCCTTTTACAAAGGATTTTCTAAGACTCGTCACTCAATAATCATCTCACACACACACACTAAACAGCACGCACAGATTTTAAGGGTAAGAAACAACATGAATACATCAAATGCCTTCACAAAAACCACCATGTGGTCCGTTATGGGGAAAGATATTTTTCAATTAAACGGGAAAGAACAAATTCAACGCTATCAGGTCCTTAATCATGCCTGGCAGTGCAAGCTCCAGGTTCCATTATTCTTTTTATGGGCATGTGAAACAAGCCAGGCATATTTTCTCTATAAAGCCAAACATAGTTACAGGTTGTCGCTGGTGTGTGAAGACAGGGAGGAGGGCTTTTTGGGGGGAGGGGGGGGGATCACTGAGAATTACCTCTGACCTTAATATGGCTATTCTACCCTCCGTCATAACAGAGGACAAAGTGCATAGACAGCTCTGCGATCGCTCCACCTGTGCGTGGAAAGTATTTCATCCGTCCTACTGTAAAAACACAGTGCATTGTGGTCATCATGCTCATGAACTGACATTCCTGGTCATATGGAAGTGGAAATAAAGAGGCGCTGCAGCCTAAAGGAGATGGATGTAGAAAAGGTCGCCTGTAAGGAACTCAGGAGATTTGGCCTTAGGTGTAACAGACATCTGTAAGAAAGCCCATAACAAAAATTCATAGAAAAACAAAAGAAAAAGCAGAGATAATTATGGTGATTAAAACGAAGCTATTAAATATAATAAGCCAGAAAAGCTTTTTAAGGAAGATTCAGGCACATTGTGATATCTTGGAAAGCACAAACACGAGCTGCTCTTCTTCAGGAATTGCAAGTTGTGGTGGTGGAAAAGAAAAAGATTTAAAAAAAAAGATAAACAGATATATATTTTCTCACATACTTTTCTTTCTTAATACAAGTCGAACTTTGTTCTGCAGCAGGAAAGAGGGACAAAACACAAATATATATATAACAATATTCACATGCCAGACTGTGCACACACTCAATCAAATGTTATTTTGGTCTGAATGCACAACACACACACACACACACAC